TCACTCGCTGCAGCGTCGAATTGGCTGGCGCGCGAGCAGACTGAGGCAGCGAGCGTGTTCTATGCAGCGCAAGCGGTAGCCAGCCCATTGGCCATCGCTTTAGCCTCGCCACCTCGGGCCCCGAGCTTCTGGCCAACTATAGACCAGGCGGACTCGGGGGCATCCGTGCCAACCTCCGCCCCGAAGTGCATCCCTGATTGCTCAATATTCAATCCCGTAATATCCAGCCCCGTACTCACACACTGCCGAGTGATCACCGGCGGGTCGAAAGGCCGCGGGATCACGATCACGCGCTCGGGGAAGTTAAGAGCAAGCCCAGAGCGCGGCGTAGCAGCCATTAGAAGTGCGACAGCGCGAGGGGGGCGAGGACGAGACCGCCAGCAGCAATTGCCAGATCGTCTGCAAATGCTGCAGGGTATACATTGAGACAGATCCTCAATCTAGCAAACGCACGTAGACTAGGGCCGAAAACGAACGCGAAGAGTAGGCCACTAAGGGGATCCCCTTGCTTGACCCCGCGGAGTGCCCAGGATCCACCAGCCTCAGAACCGCGAATCGGAATGCTGCGCCGCGCGCGTTTGCGCAACGACCGAATGCAATTAATGAAGGGGGGGGATCCCCGACGCTGCAATAGAAGAAACGGCCAAAGATGATGCACTTATGGGAACGCGAACTTCATGTCAAATAGGGCGCCGCCAGTGCCTTGCGAATTGTCTAGAGCTCATCGCGGCATTAATTTACCGTCGAACTCAATAATGTCATCTGCGAGCGAGCGACCCGATATAGACCTTCTCTGAACGCGATGAAGTTTTTCCCTGGCCACCTGCATGAGCGGGCGCGCCGAGCACGAGGGGGCGATCATGTTATCCGCGCCACTCAACGCAAGCGGCCGCGTGCCTCCACGTGCTTTAGCGACAGCACCAGGAGCACTGGCGCCTTCAGGTAAGAACGCCATCTTGGAATTGTAAAAATCATCAGACCACTGCTGCGCACTCATGAGGGCAAGGTAGTGCTCCCAGAGGGCCTCCTTAATCAGCGGATGCGGGCGCCGCCAGGCGCTGCGCGGGGTGCCGCTGGGTCCTGGACTGGAGTCGACCTTGGATTTGAGGAGGTCAAAAAAGTGGTTTTCCGTCAGGATCCGCGGGGACTGATGGGCGGAGTTGGCGAATTGGTAGGGGTCGGGCGGGAGGGGCGGGACGGGGTCCAGGAGCTGGGAGGCGCCCGAGAAATCACAGTCGACCCGAGAGACAACCTTGCCCCAGTATTCAGAAAGCTTTTGGCCCATGGCAGCGTCCTCCTCAAGCTCAGCGCCGTCGTCGTCTAGGACAGCAGCGAGGGGGATCTCCGGGCGATTCTTGGCCCGAGCCCTCGCCATTCTACGAATTCGCGCAAGATGGTGGTCCTTCTTAAATTGAACCACCTCTCGAAAAGCGGCACCTCGCCCCCCAGCTTCAGGCGCTCGGCGAGATAGATCGCCAACGCGCGCGCAGAGCCCAGGCCCATCGGTCCACCCACGACGAGGTAGGCTATAGCGCTTGACAAGGCCGGGATAAACGCGCATGACAGATTTAGCTTCTCGGAGACGGTGGAGAAGATGGGCAGGGCAAGAATCCTGGCCGGCATGGGCAGGTAGAGCGCGAGCAACGAGCAATAACTTCAACGAACGGGCCAGGCGCTCGTCGTCGGCGCTCGCACCGTCAGAGAGCACATCAAATCTAACTTGCACGGCTGAATGTCTCATGACTTGCTTTATTTCCTGAAGACGTTCGTTCGGGTCGGCGGAGAGGTCCGAAGGGCGCAGAGGGTTCGAGATATGCGCGAACAACCGTGGGCGCCCTGCAATCCAATGTGGGATATTTTGAGTTTGTTGTCTATGATGTGGCCGCTGCAGCCCGAGATGCAGAGGGGCGTGATCAGGGGGCGCGCGGAGGTCCGCGGGGCGCCATGCCGTGGAACTTTCAGGAGCCAGGTCGAGAATATCAGCAGTGATAAACTAGAAAAGCAGCAAAGAATATCAGCAGTCGAGAATGCCCAGACGTGCCAAGGACAAACCTTCGTCGGTCTTCGCGCGGCGGGCGAAGCCAGCCGGGGCGAATTCGAGCAGGGGGGGGAACGACATCCGAAACTCCATCGCGAACTGCGGCGGCGCACGCCGCTCCATATCCTCCAGAACAAAGTATCTAGCATCGCCAGCTTCAAGGAAATTGGAATCGCCAAGGAGGAAAACATCGGCGGTCGCCATCGACCACATCGCACGCTTCACTCGCTGGAAATGCCCGAGAAGTTCGCCGTGAGAGAGCCCGGGGGCGAACTGGGCTTTTATGATTTGCAGTGGAACGCGCGGCCCATGCAATCCCGCAGATGCGATTCTCCCCACCGCAATCTCGGAGAAGGCTACAACCTCGAACTGTTGTCTAAGATCTTTCCGGATATTCGTGACGACGCCCCCAGCGCCAGGCTGGTCCTCATGGAAGCTGCCAAACTGGAGGAGGTCCTTCAAATCACGCTCGAGCGCGAAGATGTCGCCACTCGTGCCGCGCGTGTTTCCTGCGCGCATGCAATGTCGCGCGCGCCCATAAGCTCGCCCGCGCACTTATACGCACGAGCTTGCATGTCACGATTTTCTCACGCGGACCCAAATACAGCGTGCGCATTCCACGTGACACTCGCGAATTTCTGCTCTGGAACACGCGGTGCGCAGTCCTGGCCGCCCTCGGACAGGGCGAGTGAGCCGTCGTCAGAGCTGGAGTCGGAGTCGGATGTAGTGCTGGAGTCCAAGGAGGACGACTAGGGAGGAAGAGGACTGCATGCAGGCACAGCACGCTGGGAAACACTAATTGACTGCGAGGGAGGCTGTCACTCTTCAACCTCAATGGGGCCTTCAGGAGCTGCAGGCTCCTGAGTCTCGATCAGAGCCGTGACCGAGTCCTTGGGGAATCCCCACCCCTCGAGCTCGGCGAAGTTGGGCTCGAAGACGACCTGTCCCTCGCCATTGCGGATGTTGGCCTGCTTGATCTCGATGACCGCCCACGCGCCTGAGTCGTTCTTCACGCGCATGACTCCGCGGAATCCGTCGATTCCCAGCTGGCAATCTGGGGTCCACATGTATGACTGCTGCAGGAGGTCGCGGGTGGGAAGGTACATATCGTGGAAGGCGCGCTTCTTGTTCGAACGGGCTGCGGGGGATCTGCTCTGACTCGAAACGGGTGCTGGATCTGAGTACGCGGGTCATCCCATATCCGGCCTCCCCGGTTGGCCTCCCGCTGGAAGGTACTCGCATCATCTTTATTCTGGAAGATGATCTGGTAGCTCTGGGCGGATGCAAAGAACTTTGTGTCGACGTTCGCGAGCAGGTCGGGGCACTGTAACTTCAGGCCATCGGAGTGAAGCCTGCGAATCCGCTCGAGGACAGGACGAGGGAAGTGGCCAATGAACTCGGTCGTTGGGTCTCCACCAGTATGATCCTCACCACGACGGCGCTTACTGCCGTCCTCAGTGCGCAGCCGAAACGTCCACGTCTGCTGGCTTCCTGACGCCGCTGATGCTGCTGACGACGGTGGGCGCGCCTTCACGTGCTGAATCTCCATGGCCTGCTGCTTCTGAGTCTGGACAACCTCGGGGAACTGGGTGGACAGCGCGGAGATGTGGTTCTCAGCGCTCCGGACGTGGCGGGAAAGAGTGCCGACAGTGGTCTCGACTGCCAGGAAACGAGCTTGGAGTTGTGTCAGAAGCCCTGCGACAGTACTCTGGATGACCTGCGTCGACTGAGCAACAACACCAGCATCCCCCATGGCGGCGGCGCCTGGGGTGAGACCCCGTGCAAGAAAAAGACTGGATGTGTCCGGTTGGGCTCGACCCCAATAGTGCACCTTCAAGAAAGGGCTGCCCGCTCGAATGCCACAATGCGCAAGATCCCAACCCGTGCTGCCGCCGTTGGCATTTGAGCCAACATGGCTTGAGCCAAAATTGCTACGGAACGAGGAGCGGGAGGAGGAAGAGGAGGAGGAGGAGGAGGAATACCAGTGGAAACCCAAGAGTCATCAACGATGTTGGAATTAACCCTCCCCCCACACTCTCTCTTCATATGCCCCCACAGCGGCTCATTTCCATTGAAGGAACTGCCCCGCTGGAAAACAACAGTTTGAAGATCCTGACGAATGCCAGAACATTGTTCTTGGGATTTCAACGCCACGTATCAACGTGGCGGCTGGGTTTGGGCGATCCACCGTCGTGTCATAACATTTTTTTGCGGCTGCCACACAACGAATCAACATAACTGCTGCGCACGCGTATCCTGAATCTCTCAAAAACACCATTTCTGGTACGTTGATCATGGGAACCCGTGAAACTCCTGCAGTTGTTTTGTTCTTCTTTCTTTAAACAACGCGCGCGGCGCTACAGCGATAACCACATTAAAAAACACCCGCCCTCAATTCATGAAACTCTTGAAAACTGTTTAAACGAGTGTGCGCGGCGCTGAGGCGAGAACCGCATTTTGAAGACTACCTGCTCTCAATCCGTGAAACTCTTGCAAAGTTTTACAAAGACTGTGCGCGGCGCTAAGGCGAGAGCCACATTTTGAAAACCACCCGCCCTCCTCAATCCGTGAAGCTCTTGCATGTTTTAGACGAATGTGCGCGGCGCTAAGGCGAGAGCCACATTTTGAGAACGACCCGCACTCAATCAGTGAAACTCTTGCAAGTTTTTAAAACGAATGTGCGGCGCCTGGGCGAGAGCCACATCTTGAAAACAACCCGCACTCCATCTGTGAAGCTGTTGTCACTTCGTAAGCCTCAAAGTCATAAGTGCTGAAGAAGTTTCAGGCGAAACGCCCGGCCCGCCCTAAAAACTGGCCTCGGGGTGCGACAGGGAGGAGTTATCTATGAGGAGAAGGAAAGGAGGAGGAGGAAGAGGAGGAGGAGGAGGAGGAGGAGGAGGAGGAGGAGGAGTGCGCTCCGTGATGCGCAGGGGCGGCGGCGGCCGGCTGGGCCGGGCGGCGCCCATGGGGATGCCGCCGAGCTTCGCGCGCCCGACAACGACGCTCCTGCCCCAGCCCGCGAGGTACTCCTGGTTGCCGGCGGCCAGGGAGGGGAGGGAGCGGGGAGGGCAACGGCATGGTGCATATGCAGAGCTCCCCTCTGAGGCGGCAGGGAGCGGTCGCAGTGCAAGGTCTAGCGCTGAAGCTAACTGGAAAAGGACCACCTGAAGTGACCCAGGCCTGGGGGAGGGGGGGCAAGGAGAGAGGAGCGAGGAGGAGCGAGGAGGAGCGAGGAGGAGCGAAGAGGAGCGAGGAGGAGCGAGGAGCGAGAGCAGGACGACGCGCGACAGGGCAGAAGGGGGTGGAGGAGGGGCGGGAGATGGGAGGAAGTTGGCGCTGGAGGAGAGGAAGGGGTAGGAGGATACTCCCACCAGCTCTTTGGGCTGAGGTGGTCAAGCGATAGCTTACTTTCCAGTCCCAGAAACAGATTCCTTTCCAGGAGGTTTACCTCCTCCTCCCTCCCTGAAGTTTCCCAGCAATCCTGTGGTGTTGGGTCCTCGTTTGAAAAAGACGGTCCCCGCGTTCCTCCTTCCTTCCTCCTTCCTTCCTCCTCCCTCCTCCCGCTCCCCCCTTCTCACTTTGGCACCACTCACAAGTTTCGTGGCCCAACAAAGAGCCCCACAGGAGGCCCAAATGCCAGCGTTCGCATGCGCCCACCGCGCCCATTTTGGCACACCCTTCACACGTTTCGCGGCCCCATAGGGAGCCCCACCGAAGGCCCAAATGCTTGCTTTCGTATGCGCCCACCGCGCCCATTTTGGCACGCCCCTCACACGTTTCGTGGCCCCATAGGAAGCCCCACCGAAGGCCCAAATGCCAGCGTTCGCATGCGCCCACCGCACCCATTTTGGCACGCCCCTCATACGCTTCGTGGCCCCATAGGGAGCCCCGCCGAAGGCCCAAATGACAGCGTTCGCATGCGCCCACCGCACCCATTTTGGCACACCCTTCACACGTTCCGTGGCCCCACAAGGAGCCCGAATTGCAGAAAGCCAAATTGCCAGCGTTCGCACGCGCCCACCCCACCCATTTTGGCACGCCCCTCACACGTTTCGTGGCCCCAAAGAGAGTCTCACCGAAGGCCCACATGCCAGCGTTCGCATGCGCCCACCGCACCCATTTTGGCACGCCCCTCACACATTTCGTGGCCCCATAGGGAGCTCCACCGAAGGCCCAAATGCCAGCGTTCGCATGCGCCCACCGCGCCCATTTTAGCACACCCCTCACACGCGTCGTGGCCCCATAGGGAGCCTCAACGAATGCGGTGCATACAATGGCTGTGCCCACAACTGCATATGGTTGGGACCTTCGCCAGGCTATTTTTTTTTGGGGGGGGGGCGCGATCGGTCAGAGCGCCCAAGATGGCTCCAAGAGGGCCTGCGATGCTCCAAGATGGCCTGCACGATGGCTCAAGACAGCCGACGCTGGTTCGAGATAGCTTCCGACATACCTCCAAGAGGCCCGACGAGGTCTACAAGACGGTTCCAAAGGCTCCCGGAGCCCCCTCACGACCCCTCAAGAGGCCAAACTCCTACGACACCGAAACAGAATCACTGATGGTTGCCTTCTCGCCGGTTCGCTTCCGGTGCGCCCTTGCGGTCCCAAGATGGCCCAGCAGAGGCCCGAGAGGGGCCCAATAGGCCCCCCAAATGGCCCCAAGAGCGCCCGAGAGCGGCCCAAGAGCGCCCCGAGAGGTGATCTTGATGGCATCATGGGGGGAGGCAAATCGAGGACCTCCCGCCTTTTTATCGATGGTCTCCAAGATGGCCCCAAGAGGCCCTCCAGGGTTCCGAACGAACCCCCAAGAGGGCTCCAAAAGGGCCCCGATATCCCCCAACAGAGCCCCAAGAGGACCCCAAGATACCCCAAGAAGTCCAAAGAGAGCTCCAGGAGACGATTTTGAGAGCTCTGTCCTCGTCCTCGTTGTCCTCCTTCTCATCCTCCTCCTCCTCCTCCTCCTCCTCCTCCTCCTCCTCTTGCTCCTAGTCCTCGTTTTCGTCCTTGTCCTTGCCCTCGGGGATCTTCTGACCCGGGTCAATCCAGACCCGGGTCAGCAGGAAACCAAAAACTGCCATGCAGGAACAAAAAACTGCAACGCAGGTCTTCGCAAACCCGGGTCAGCCAATAGGCGCGGCCGCCTCGCGGCCACGAGCGCTAACCCGGGTCAGCCAGAGGGGTCTTCGCAGGATCCTGCAGAATCCAGCGCCCTGGCTGACCCCCGTCTGCACTGACCCCCGTCTCGAGGCTCCCGATGCCCTCACCGTCTTCCGTTTCCGGTTCCTCCTCTTCCTCTTCGTCTTCGTCTTCGTCGTCGTCGTCGTCGTCTTTCTCCTCCTCCTCGTTCTCCTCCTCCTTCCCGCGCCCCCGCGCAGGCCCCGGGAATGGCCCGAAAAGGACTTCCAAAGCAACCCTCTTGCTCCCAGAGATCTCGCCGTTCACGCTGGTCGCCCGCTCCGTTTCACCACACGTGCGTTCGTCCGTTCCCCGTCGACTCTCGTGGACATGGTTTGCGAATGCGCTGGCGGGGATTTTTTGGTCGCAACCGCAGGCGAAGGCGCCAGCGGCGAGTCGAGTCAGCTCGGGCTACGAGCGGAGCTAATTGCCGGCGCGCGCGCAGGCACCAGCAGGACCTACCGCCGGGGGAAGCTGCTGCGCCGAGGGCAGTGCTGCAACCGCCGAGGCTAAGAGGCAGCGCCGAGGGTGGGCTGGTGGGGATACGCGAAGCGTGAACACATTCAGACGAATGAAGAGAATGAGGAGAAGGAGGAGGAGGGGGAGGGGGAGGAGGAGGGGGAGGAGGAGGAGGAGGAAGAGGAAGAGGAGGAGGAGAAGGAGGAGGAGGAGGAGGACTGCCTCACGGATGGCGCGCACTTCGCCCCCATCCCTGAGGCGCTCGCCTGGGAAATCGGCCGCCCCGCTCGTGCCCCCCGTCCTCCACGTGTTCAGTCTGTCGTTTCTCCTCCCCGTCGTCCTCCTCCTCCTCCTCCGCTTCCTCCTCCTCCTCCTCCTCTCCTCTTCTCTTCTTCTCCTCCTCCTCCTTCTCCTCCTCTCTCTCTCTCTCCCTTTCTCTGTCTTTCTCTCTCCCTTTCGTGTTTGCCCCCCCCCCCCCCCTCCTCCTCCTCCTCCCTGCTCCCTCGCCTCCTCCTCCTCCTCCTCCTGATCCTGATCCTGATCCTCCTCCTGATCCTGATCCTGATCCTCCCCCTCCTCCTCATGAGCCTCCTCCTCATGATCCTCCTCCTCCTCCTCCTCCTCGTCCGCCGGCGTTCCTTGAAGCTGCCCTCGTCGAAGAACCCCGTGAGGCGCGCGCCGTTGGGCGCGGTGGCGCCAGCGAGCATGTGGCGCGGGTCGTATGGCAC